TTTATCTAGTCCAATCCTCTCGAAAGGAGAAGCTCATGTTGTTCATTGGATTAGATGGTTTCTAAATACTTTTGCAGTCTCGGAGACTCTCGCATCGTTCAAAGCATCAAAGCTGCGGATTCTAAAGTGCTTTCCATACTTGATGGATCAGTTTTTGTCGTCAGTAATCAGATACTGCATAACGTTTCTATGATATCATTAGAAAAGCAGGTTAGTTGATAGCGATGTTCACATTTCATGTTATTTCTACGGGCGATAAGTACCAGTTCACTTATGAGGGAACAAAAGTGTAAAGGATCAAGTCTTCACCGTAGATCAATTGCTTTTTGGGATGCGGCAGCATTCTACCCCCATTCAGAATCGTAGTGGCATATTGATGCGACTGGCCGATACAGAAGGTGCGGCCAGTCGCAGCGGGCAGCCGATGTACAAGTCAATGCTTTCACCCTCCCAAACCAATCTGTGAAAACTGGTGGGTAGAAGGCTTGGCTGGCCTGGGCGGGAGCCGGTCGGGATTTGACCCGCGTAGTAAGTGTGTCGCCTGAAAGGTTGTGCAGGTGGAATCTGGTGATATCTCAAAACAAGCGGATCGGCAACGATTTTTTGAATTTGGAGTGTTCAGACTTCGCGGAAGTATAAAGGTTGCCTAGCGCTGTAAACCCGTGCAGCTGTTCACCCTGCAGCTCTTAATAGGTATTTGGGAATGAGCCAGTTGATCTTTTTGCGTTTTACGGGCTGCCTTATTGTGACCACAACCGCTTAGTGTTATCCACTACGAAACGAAGAAAATGCACTACTTCATATGATACCGCTTCGCGACCGCTCGCTCGGGTTCTACTCATTCCAGTCGTTCTACACTATGTGGTCTGAGTAGCTTATATTCCGTTGCAAGGCCTGTCTTCCAAAACGGTTGCAACTTTTCATAAACGTTGCTGTTAGTAAGTTTCAATTAATGGATATTGACAGATTGATGCCCTTTTTGCTCACGGCGAATACGACGAAGCTATATCGTTGTATCAGACGAAGCTAAACCAGCGTTTCGACGTCGACAGCCTGGTGGTTCGTTGCTAAATATTGTTCACAATTAATCTACTCGTACTTAGCAAACACTTCATCGAGTTTATTTCAGAATTTCATCAGTCTGAAAAAGAAAATCGCTTTTCGATATATAGAGGAGAAAGTATTTGAGAAAGCTGCGGAGCTACTCGTTTCAACAGAAGTTAATCCGGAAGAGGTCTTTTTTCGAATGATTCTCTACAGCCAAGTAATGCTTTTGAGCTAAAATCACTCCCTATGCAAATTCAGACGGAATAAAGGCGACAAAAAGAGCGTATATTTGCGTTCTCATTTTATTAAAAGCAGTGGATGCGATGGCTGGCGTGTGGGGAGTAGGGACTGTTGCTGCCAACGTCATTATTGGATGGGAGGAGTGGAGAGGGCTAGAGGCCCCCTCGCAGCCCTTCACCCAATGGCTTCGGCAGCAACTGCCCGCCCACAGCCACCATCCCCGCTGCCTTTAAGGGCGCAGGTATAGCACAGGTCCGTTACCTTTTGAGAGTTACGAGATGACGTGTTCAGCACGTGAAGAAAGTTGTGACGTAGTGACGTCTCAACACATTTCGTCAATGTGTTATGTGAAGTCAATGGAAGTCCTGATAGTGACGAACCGGACTGCGTGCAGATAATATCGTGCAATCAGTCGGGGTGGTCTCAAGCGGTATGAAATTAAGCCTTTCCACGGCGTTCCCACTTTGGTTGTTTTCTTCCTAAATCCACCATCAACCAATCACCATTGGTAGAGCAACGGAGGCGGAGCCGGACAAATTACGCTTTCTTGGCACCGCCCCTACTGATTGCGTTATCAGCTGTAGCCGTGCTACATCAGCGTTTCGTTCTCAATTTTCTGCCCTTCATGTTTTGTTCCCACACCATTTTAGGAAATTTCCAGGTAATTCGATCATTTGAATGGCCAAACGCTGAGAGTATATTGAGCAACAGCTCACTTCTCCCGATAGCTACCAGTTTCTGGAAGAGTATCTGTTGCAGATTAGAGGCACGCACTTCGCGATTTCACCACGAGCGGTTAGTTGGTAAAGTGCTATGTTCATGGTTGCACTCTTATGCTCACTGTTGTGTTCAGAGCGTAGATACGGCACTTTTGAAACTGTTCGTGCTTCATCACAAGCTGGACGATGTTTTTCATCTCGAGAACTTCCATCCGAACTATGAGGAAAGCGCGTCTTTCTTGGAGAGTACGGACCATCATAATCATGCAGCTGAGATGTGGTTATTGGCTGGAGAGGCGTCGAAAGCTTGGGAAATTTATAGGCGGCTCTGCTTCTGGAGAGCTGAAAGACACGACATTCAACACTGAGCGTGTTATCGAACGGGTTCCATCGTAAGTTATTTGTATTCGGCCTGAAGATTTTTTTGTGAGATTTGCTAGACGCTTTGCTTTCCTGCGATGGAGGGAGATGGGCAAGAGAATCGTAATTTGCCGCTCCGCCGCGCGCGGCGATGGCGCGAGACAGTTTAATGACTCGTGTGGACCTGACGGTTGGAGCACCGGACTTCATGTAGACCCCGTCATCTAGGCATTCATTACTATTTTGGTTCTGCATTGCTTGTTGTCGCCATGCTCCACCTGGAACGACCGCCCTTGCAGACGCGATCACACGCGACGCCCACCAACGCGGCGAGTTACGATTCTCCTGTCACATACCGGTCGGTGATGGACATGAAATATGAAGATGGCAGAATTACAACTCAGAACGATTGTGTTATCGCGCGCATAACGCATGAGCAGTAAATGTCTCGCCTGTGGTGTGCATATGTTGTTCGCAGCGGATGTCGGAGTTTGTCAGGAGGGCTGGGTTTGGCGTCAGCCTGTTCTCCAGTTGTTGCCGCTTTCTCGATTCAACTACTGATGGAAAACGGGTGCGCGTCGCGTCAAATCACAAGCTTTCTGGACACGCCCCACATCCGCCACCAACAAGACTGTATTTCACCCCCGGCGAAGGTGGTTTACTGAGGCACTCGCAGCACCTGTGCAGGGCACGTCCTGGCAGCTGGAAGAATTTCTGCTAATGCCCTTCTCTCTCACTTTCTCGTTTGGTACGACACTTTCCACAGAGGACCAATCTTATCAAACTGCTGAAATCCTGAACAGGCGTCTTGTAGAGGTCAGGACGTGAACATAGTTGATGGGTGTCGGAAGGTACTATGGAATTTGTAAGGTGAAAGAAAGGTCGCAGATATGGAAGGTCATACTGAGCGGCTCGCAGTGTTCGTGAGAACGTCAAGAGTTGGTTTCGGAAGCCCAATTGGATGGCGGGCGTGGGGGCTGGACAGATAAATGTGACAACAGGTGGACGAGCCGATAAAGCGCGTGATCAAAGCTGATAAGTGCGGAGCTGATAAGGTGCGGGATAAGGGGCGCTAAAAAAGGATCACCAAATTCAATGCGCAAGTCAAAGCAACAACTGGACCATCGTTGAAAGAAATGGCGTAGGAGGCAGGACGGGAACATCCTTGGTGGGGAGGAAGGGTAACAAATGATAAGAGTTGATAAGACCTGATAAGGGGCGGTAGAAGGGAAGGATCGCAGCAGTTCATAGCACAATGGCAGTAACAGTCAAGGAGAGGTAGGGTTAGCATGAAGGGGGGGGCAACACTTCAAATCACTAGTCACAAATAGTAGTTGGCGGCAGCAACCAGGGGCGTATAGTGCGCGTAAAAAGGGAAAAATTCAGTATTCACAAGTTTCAGACCGACTCTCCTCCATAACCCCCTCTCTCCCCTGCGACCGAGAGTAGACTCCATTGACAACAGTTGGGACTCTTCCATAAACTAAATTTGAAGGGCTTAGCAGTACATAAAGACATATTTTTTTCCTATTTTCATGACTACATAAGAGTGTTACAGTTGACATTTCAGCATTACGGACAAGAAATTACTGCAAGATGTGTTGTCATGGATGATTCCTTTGTCTCCTGAACGCTGCATCAAGGTATTCTTATTTAGTTTTCCTAGAATCAGTTTTTTTCTAAGAACTGCGGTCATGTAGACTCCACCTAAACAATATAAATACATACTGTAGGCTCCCCTCCACGGATCCTGGTCCTTGCTGTATGCCAGGTGAATGGGCCCGCAGCTGTAGTAGCGTGCCACTTTCTCCGCTCAGAAGTGAACGAGAACGAGGCTGCAAGGTGGCAATACCCGGTTGTCTTCTCCCGACTCCGCCCATGCTGCCGCGGAGCCTTCCACTCGCCCAACCGTGGCCAAACGCGCTACTTTCCTGCGCCCTCTCACTTCTGGTTGTTCTCTAGCGTGAGTGTGTGTTCTGTTGCAGTTAGTGCTCTTGGTATTGACGCAAGCGCTACACGTTGAAAGTAACGCGAGCGGAGTGTGGAAACGGCTTTCGGGTACTACTACAGCCTCTTTCACGTGCACTATTGAGGGGAGTAACACGCTACTGTAGCTCTGAACCCATTCACCTCGGATATAGCAAGGCCCGTCCTCGGAGGTGAGTGTATAGTTTGTATCCAATGGCCTTACGACCCTCTGATTTCAATGGTGCGGAGAAATACGGACAAATAGACTCCTTTTGACACTTCCTAATCTGAGAGAAATAAATGTATCACTCTAAACTTCTATTTTGCCATCATCTTTTTCTCAACGTTATGTGAACATCCAGGAGCATTTTCTGAGGCTGTTAATCGTCCATTTGGTACTTGTTCTCTGGCAAATTGTACTTTTAGATTATCGTCACAAATAAACTCTTGGATCATGCAACGGTGAGAGGTTTACTTGGTGGTGATGCTAAACTTCTGCGCCTTTACCTTGAAAGCATTCCATTCTGCGAAGACATAGCAAAGGAATTATGTGATATCTACATCAACGACATAAATGCCGGAGGTACACTCTAGTTCGCTGCGGACGGTTGGGCGTGTCAGGCAGTATGAGTGTGTCACCCCGTCAAAGCCGTTCTCTGCCTTCTTGTTGAAGCGCGCATGCGACAAAAAGTGGTAGAAAACGAGTAATACGAACGATATGATACAGTCATTTGCTCGCTTTAACAACTGGTGGAGAACGGGTTTGGCACCGCGCCAAACTCATCCCGCCTGACACGCCCAACCGTCCGCAGCGAACTACACTATAAATAACACGACAGTTATTCATTTCACGTTTTTTTTTTCGGATTTTTTCTTCAACAGAATTGTGATTGTAGGCCCTCACTTTTTTTTAATCCTATCAGTTATGTTCAAGGTCTCAGCTGTCGACAACGGTTTCGGCAACTGCTCTTGAAAATGAACGTTTCTGATCGAAGTGCCTTGTTCAACAGGATACCTCCAGAATGTGGTGTAGGAACGGCTATTGTGCGACAGCAGTGTGAGTGCCTTGCTCCCATAAATTTTTGCATGTATTTGATAAGCTCTGCAGCTTTGTAAATCCTTCTGTGTACCCCTTTAACAAACTTAATTGGCCACCGGTGTTTCTTAGTTCCAGTAACTTTAAAGACACATTTCGCGATTGTCTGAGAAAAGGAATGTCTCCCCGAAGTATGTTAAGCACGGATGCGCGGTCGCATGGGCGGTTCCCGCTTTTGGAAACTGAGTGGCAAAGGCTCAGAGGACTTGCGATCAAACCAGGCCCAGTCATTCTGTCTGTCTCTCTGTCTGTCCGTCCGTCTGTCTTCTGTGTGCTCCTGCGCGCGCTTGTCTGATCTGTCGTAGAGCAGCTCTGTCCCGTTCTGCTCTCTGCAAACTTGTATCAAGACGAATGTCAAATTTTATATTTTAATGTTTCAGCAATCTCCTGGAGACATTCTCGATAAAGTGGTGAAAACGTACCATGATTATGATGCTGCTGAATTGATTTGCTCTCATTATTCACCTACACAGCCGGATATTTGCTTGAATCTTTTGAAATTTCTGGAAGATAGGTATTGTACTTGTCTTTTGGACTCATTTATCACAATGTTTAATTTATAGCAATTATTATTTTTTGTTAGGGGATCAGAGTTCACAGCTGTCGACGGCGCCGAGTCACGTATCTGTTCGCTACTTAAGTGTATGGGTGATGCGGTTGACCCATTGAAAGTCATTAGCGTACTGCCAGAGTCGACGGCAATTGATCAGGTGATATGATCTATAATATTTAACAGCGATTAAGTGGTGCGCATGAATCATGTGAAGTTATCAGTCATTGTAGTTTTCGCTGCGAATGATGGGGTGTGTCAATGGGGCCGGTTTTGGCGCGGCACCATACCATCTTGTTTCGGCAAGCGCCCAAGGCTGTATCATATCGTTCGCAACAGTCGTTCACCACCAATTGTTGTCGCTCACACGCTTCAAGAGAACGGGCTGGCGGCTCGCCAAACCCCGCCTCACAGGCACACCCCTTCATCCGCAGCGAACAAGGCTGTTATTTATCCTATCAATCGATTTGTGGTCTTGCATTCTATACTGTTACAACAGCTGTGTTGTCTTAAAAGTTGATCTTAAGGTATCATATTTCCTTATGCGAGCAGTGGCTAGGAAACAGCAGGAACATCACTTGCTTAGCTCCAAAGGAAGTTTACTCGAAAAATGTGTGGAAATGGAAAAATTCAGTCTACCAAATAAGAAAATTGTGGTTCGTTTTTACGATTTATTCACCCTCAAGTAGCTTGAGTACGCCATTCTAATGTGTTTCTGAGAGCGGAGTAGGTGGAGCTACATCGCTAGCGTGCATACTTCGAAGGTCAAATTCTGACTTTTTTCAAGCTATCTAGCCCTTCATTCCCTTGAGGACAAATGGTTTAAGAGGCTCATTGATGAAAATGAAGTGCTCGTAGCACCTCAATGGACTGCGCAGTTTTTCGCTCTCTGTCCTCTCATTTTCTTTGGAAGGAGGTAACGAGGTGGAATCTGGTACCGATGGACTAGAAGGTTGACGCGCGCAAGGTATGGAGCTGTTCATAGGTACGTGGTTCATCAGATAGAGGATTGCCACGTTGAATCAATCAGCTCCTGGCGCGAATGACGCGTGCGTGCGGGCAGTAAGTGTATCCCATAGTTGTTTGCTTTGGAGGCACGTTCCATGGTCAGATGTGGAGGGTTGCGGGACTCAGATACTAAAGACAAAATAGTGAGTAACTCGGTAATGAAGAACAAGTCAGCAGAGACCGTCCGAAATGTCTAGAAGCTCACCATCATTTTCAACAAAATTCGAAATTTTCTCTTTTCTTATTTTTATTGGGCTCATAATTACATTAGGAATTCGCATAACCTTAACTTTTCAAGATCGAGGACAAAGCTGCTTGCGCCGTCTGCAATATCCCGATTTCATGCAATGATGTTCTTTGTTATTTAAAAACCGGATATGTTGTACATAGTAAATGTATGAAGTATGAAAATCTCTGCCCATTGACCAATTTCCTCTTAGTGCCTCCCGAATGACTTTTCTGTGATATGTAATTATTGTTATGAAAGGGTGCTAATAATAAAATATGTTTGATACCTTCGTTTATGCTATTTACGTTTCTGTTATACATCTAACATCTAACATTATCGGCTACTGAAGAAAAACATTATGAGAGAAAAAAATACCAACTTTTACATTGACATTATATGCGATAAAGTCAGTAGAAAAAATTTTTTTGATTACAAAACATCACCGCTGGTTTTTTTGTTGTCGCAGTTTCATATAGTTGTCATCCGGGCAGTTGATTAGGCGGTCGTGAAGGGTCGCAGACGCGGCTGCAGCAGCGACCGCGTACGTAGGAACTGTTGGCGGCGATCAGCTGTTTCCGGCCTGGTTTAGTCATTTTCTCCCTACTTTTCACTGTTTTTGGCTGCTTTTCTTGAGGTTAGTTGTTCCTTGTCTTCACAAGGTAAATTATGATTGAGATTCTCCTAATTTTTTTTTCGAAAAATGGAACAATTAAAGAGTTTAAATACTCGAAAAAAATCGCAAAAACACTTCATTACAAGATAAAAAAAGAAGCCACGTCGTAGTATACTTCATAAGGACAAGAAACAACTTACCTTGAAAAAAACATAGTGAATCTTGAAGAGAAAATGGCTAACGAGGCTGGAAACAGCTGATCGCCGCGGTCGTGACGCGCCGCAGCCGCGTCTGCGACCCTTTGACCGCCTAATCAACTGCCCGGATGACGACTGTAGATCGGGACGCGTCTGAAAGCTTTGAACACTGTCTTTCGCGTATCATTCGCATGCTTGCAGCCTTTTCTGGTCGGGTAAAAACATTAACTGGAACGCAGGTTTGTCTTGTAAGTCGTTGTATAGGCCATATGCACACTCAATTACTTTCGCCATTGCGTATAGAAGTGTAAACGTGACTCATCACAGAAACGATCGATCAGGACCAGCTGTTTTGCTACAGCGCGGAGGTTTTCTAGTGGCGAGTAGCGCCACTTACCATGTGCGAGATTTGAGGACTGAAGCCCGGATGGGGTCTTGCCCGAGCCAAAGCATCAGGCTTCTTGGATTGGTTGTCTGATGTGGGGTACAGCACAGGTTTGTGAAATTACTTTGTCTGGGGTAATCTCCCAACGATGCTGTATTCTGGTCTGGTGGGTTGAATATACAGTCCTGCACATCAGTTTTTCACTGTGCAAGCCAAATCACGTTCAGAAGCCATCTCCACACTGAGTGGAAGTGGTGTGCGTGGCGCAGCCCGGAAAAGGGCTTGTTTCATAGATTACTTCTTCCAAATAGGCTTGTGAGTGTCACTAGAGACCAGAGCCAGGAAGGACCAGAAGTTGTGGCTGAACGATCTTTTTTCGACGAAGCAGTGGCCGATGATGTGACAGTGCCACGGGCGGCTCTCGATAGTTGCGAACAAAACATAGGAAACTTGATCTGACGATAAACTGGAAATCAGCCGGTGACCAGATGACTGGCACCGAAAACTTGGCACGGTGGACTAATATCTGGGCGTTAGAGATACACCTGAAGAAGTTTGTTCAGGAAAAAGCCGTATTGCTGGCCATCACTACGCGGTACACGGAAACAGAACGGACACATTGGTATTGCGCAATGCTGAGTGCAACAGCTACTCGAAAGGCGAAAAATGACTTGTTTGATCAATTAATACTTTTATTGGATACCGTATGAAAAGTGATAATTTAATAACAGAATTACCGTATATTACATATAAGCTATGTACATATACAACAGAACGCATTTCGAGCAACAGCGATTTCTCCAACGTCATCTGATATCAGTTCTATAGTCCCTGGCTACGTTCACCCGAACAGTTCGGTAAGGACGTTCTGGATATAACTGACTGGCGTTGCCGGCCGACACTTTGACCAGTCGGTGTAGTGAATGCTAGCTGATCTGAAACGGGAAAAATCACGAACTGAATGTGAAGCTTTTTTCTAAAAAGCTCCCTAAAAGAACTTGGTGTTCCTTATTGCATTCATGGGGTTTGGGCCATATTCGTTCATGAGCACTTCGCGTGAAGAGAAAAGTACACTCACCAGGCTAGTGATAGCCGCGTGTCGTCTTCGTACTCCACCCGCACTACTGCGCGGCCAGCCACGGGTCTAACCATAGCTCAGCGCGCCACTTGTCTACGCACTCTCACTTCTAGTTGCTCTCCACCACTCAGTGGGTGGATGGTTTACGGACAGTTTGAACTCAATTCTTTTAGACGCATCGATTTTCTGTTTTTCTCTGCACTCTCTCGTCCGCATGACACTCTGCGGTTGTTGTGGCTTCGCAAATTCCAGCTTTTCGGATCGTAAGTGGTTTACCCACCCCAAGGTTCCCTCCCCCCTGGGAAAGCTCGTTTCCTGGCTCGCACCATGCTGCTTGCACGTTTGCGTGCTTTGGCAGCCGCTGTCCTCTATCTGTCCGCTTGCTTGGTTTCGCAACACGGCCGCGCACAAAAGCTCAACCTGTCACATAACCGTGCGGGATAATGTTGCACATTGAGAATAGCGTGGGCGGAGACATCTTTCGGGTATCACTGCCCTCCAGCGGCGGTCCCGTGCCTTTTGACCGGATAGAGTGGCACGCTACTGTAGCTAGGGATCAATTCACCTCTCACCGACAAGGCTAAGGATCCTAAAAGGAGAGCGTACAGTTTGCCTGTAAGCTGTGTTATACATTTGGCAACTTGTTTACAATTTTTTGTGAGTTTAGATTGTTGGTCAACTCTTCTAATACCTCGTCATCCGGGCAGTTGATTAGGGCGGTCGTCAACGGGCCGCAGCGCGTGCCAGGAACTATTTGCTTTTCCCAGGCTAATTTAGTCATTTTTTCCACCTTGTGAAGATAAGGAGCTGCTAATCTGGGAAAAAGTAGCCAAAACAGTGAAAAGTTGGAAAAAATGACTAAATTAGCCTGGAAAAAGCAAATAGTTCCTGGCACGCGCTGCGGCCCGTTGACGACCGCCCTAATCAACTGCCCGGATGACGAGGGTACGTGAGGTTTTCCTACACCCCGGACAAGATGTTACCAGGTGTACAGCACAATAAAGCTCATTAAACTCATAGCCTCATAGCGAGTAACGATTTTCTGAGACTCCCCACGCGCATAACAATCTATAAGCAGCGCAAGGCGAGGCTTATCATCTTTTGAGTCATACTACGTAATGCTGCGTTTAGTTTGCATGAGTCATCAGATAGACAATGAAGCAGCCAATTTTACGGTTGAGGATTTTTGATGCCACATCAAAAGCGACCAATAAGCGAGACTCGATAGTGCCATTGATCTTACCAGCTTTTGAATCAGTGGGGACATCATACACGAAACGGCCAACGAAAGAAAGAGGGTTAGTTATTACCCTGGACATACGACAGAGAATGATGAATGCACAACGCAATGTTGAGTAGAGGGTCAGTGCTATCCACAATGTCACGATGCCATCTCCGAGAACAGAGGGTGTTCGGGAGATGGGCAGCTAGTGCGTACTCGATGAAGATCTATTCGATATAAACGTGCAATAGGGGCTGCGATTCCACATGACGAAGTATAGATATGAAGCGAAGTAAGGTAAAGAATTCGGGAAAAACAAAGGAAACTACAACATCGTCGCTTTGATCTGGCCCTCAGGTCGACTGAATGAGGGGTAATCGGCGACCAGCAGTTCACGCCTGGAACCTTCCTTGGTGTCGAAGATTTCCTTTCAAGAGCGGAGCGTGATGAAAGCACCTAGAGCGTGGGCATCGACGGCGCCTTGTGTTCGATAGTGGTAGGTATGGGAAAATATGGTCACTAACTAAACTTCTCAGAATAGACGTCTAGAGTGTGTGGATAGAGAAGCCAATACATTATTTCCGAAGGGTAGAGACCGGGCGTGTGTCGCACTAGCGATCCAACCTGGTATTTACTTCGAAGGCAATAATCAGGTACGGCAATTATCTTCCATGTCAAAAACGTTACTACATAGACCCCAATGTTAGCGGGGGAACTACTAGAGAAAAAAGACCGCTAAAGCTACACCTATCGAGAATTCGACTGCGCAATCCGAGATCGACTTAAACGTCGTCTAACTGGCGGGGACCCTGGCCTTTTCCTCCTCTTCGTGGTCCGACGATTACAATTTGATCTAAAAGAATGCCTCTCAGTTTCTAAATCAACTCTGGTTCTTGGCACGACAAAATCTATGCAGAGTATAGCGTCTGGTTCGCTGTTGATGCTTGGGCGTTTAAGGGAGGCTGGGATTGGCGAGGCGCCAGCCCATACTCCACCAATCTTGAAGGGGAGCAAGCAAGACCAATCAGTGGAGAACGTTTTAGCGCCATCCGCATCAAGCAAGATGGTACAAATGAGATCTGAAAATCAAGGGGTGGAAAAAAAGGAAAGAAATTGATGCAGCCGCCTTTACATTACTACTACCTGGTTTATTACCTAGTTGACTTTACAAGGTATCCTTCTCGAAAAGTGAACACATTTTTTTTTACTTTTTCTCCCGAAGACCGAGAGTTACAGTCCCAGGACCTAACCCTGTAAAAGGCAAAACTCAGATGTGTGACGCACCCCTTTCGAGCCGGTTCACCGAATTTAAAGACACGTCAGGACACGTCCCCATGAAAGGGTATCAAAATGCACTCCTGTGAGCCTTAAATCGCCAGGCGCGGATGAAGCGGCAAAAATCAACACAGAAAAAGCACCCAACTAACCACATGCCACACTCCCTTCAGAACAAAATACGACCCCCGTTCGAGTGAAACCAGTGACTATGTACCGTTTTATCGGCTTGAGTGATTATGTTGTGGGAAACTGACGGATAGAAACTGATAGCCCATACACCGTGTTAACCGTTTCCTTGACGCATCTTTCCTTGAAGTGGCTGTTCTACGGCTATTCTCGTCGCAATGTTTCCCCAACACCTAATTCGCATTGAAGGAACTTTTTTCCCGGGATGAGAACTCATTAAAAATGAGGGCGCGAGGAGATTTGGACGTCCAGCACGACCCACACCTTTTCACGTTGATGCAGATCCCTTTCAAAAAGTAAATACGGCTCTTCCAAGCGACTGGTGCAGAAGCTCCCTCCTTGAAGTATCAATCATACCGTATTCGTTGAATAATGTAATAGCCAGTAGGCTGTGTGGAAATGCTCATAAACTAGAGTGTTTTGACTACCTCCGCTCATGATCGAGCCATTCATCTCCCACAAAGAGCTGGTGGAACTGCAAAAACTTGCATTCTTCGCTGGGGGATTCCCTCACTTGTGGCTCTTGGATGCGCTCAGAGGCAGTTGGCAAGATAATTTAGTACTCGTCCTAAAATGCTAGCAGGGCGTTATATAAAGGGAAGTTGGCAACAGTGGAACGGTCAGTACCTGCGAAAAATGAAGCCTTCGTTCTTAATGACTTAAAACTCAATTGCGGACGGTTTGCCGTAGGCATCTTGCCAATAACCGCGGCCGAAGATAAGGTTGCATGGGCGTACACTCGAATATTTTCATCTTGACACAATTGTTGTCGTGTCTCTGTCCAGCACAGAACAAGATGACAGTTGTCCCAGACTGGAATATTCCACGAGTAACCAGTTCCGTGCCATGTTCAAATGCCACGCCTACTCTGGCTCAGGGATAAGGAGTATATGTACAGGGGGGGGCAAAAAAAGTCATTTTGCCTCCATGACTTTCAAGGCGCTATAAGTTACACTTTATTAAATTTTATCGGACAACATTTTTACTACCATATTAAAGAGCACATTAAATACTATAATGATACTCCGCCACAGCCTTCTGGAGGAGCGCCATCGAGAGATTCGGCCGCGCGAAAGTGAGTGGGTACCGGAGTTGAGCGAGATCGTTGATTTCTCCGCCACTGTAGACCCCCCTGTTGAGCTCCGCCCGAACCGAG